GGGCATTTGTGACCCCTGGTGCCTCGAACTGCTTCCCCAGCACCGCACACAGCGCTCCTGCTCAGCAAGAACCAGGCCCACAGCCTCTGCTCAGAGCGTCCTGTGTGGGACCCAGGGACAAATGCCAGTTTGCCTGCCCCAGGAGAAGAGGCCGCCCTGGCCCGGCTCTATCCATCTGGAGGGCAACAGAGACCCAGGACCCCCGGCCCGCATCTGGTTGGCAGATGTATGTCTCCATCTGGCAGGCGGCCCTGGGGACCCGGCAGAAATTTTGCCCCCAGCCTGGCTCTGGAATCGACCTCCAGGCATCCTGTGAACCTGAGGCCTCCTCCTCTCACGCCCAGGAAGGCCCCCAGGCCTGTGGTGCTGTGGCCCTGGCCCTGCAACTGGGACTCCAGGAAGCGGCCCGAGGCCCACCGTACTGGCTAGCAGCTCCCAAGGGCAGATCTGTCTGAGCCTCATTCCTGGGAATGATCTGGGTTAGACGAGAATGGGAAGAGGCCCACAGCACTGTGTTTTGTGATATTCTTGTAAGAGCATATTGATGAGTGTAGATTTTATAGTAAAGAGCCAGTCGTTCTAGAAAGCAACGATTTGCCTCAGCAGAACCTCCAGGCTCTCGTTTCAGAGGTGAGGACGCGCCCATGGTGCTGTGTCTGTGTCCAGCAGGTTCCGCTCGGCCCCGACAGTGCTGCCCGCCAGGTGCCCTTCCCGCACGCTCACTGTGGTCAGCCCTGCTCCGCGCCGCCCTCTGTCCTCTCAAGGTGCGTCCCTGGCAGCCGGAGATGCACATGAGATATTGGCCTGGCCGGGCAATTTGCACGGCCTTCCAGGGAGGGCATTAGCATATAAATAGCAGATGCGATGAGGACCATCACAGCTGAGCACGTTTAATTTTTAGTTTATAAGATAGAATGGGTTTTTAAACGCAGAGCCATCAAGGCGCTGAAAGACAAATGTAGTTTGGAACTCACTTGTCTGACGAGGCCTTACATCATTTTTTTTTTTTTTAAAAAGGGAAACACACACACATAAAACTGAACAAAAGTAATTTCTTGGGTGAAAAGTAATTGAGACCGCATACCAAGTTAATTAGATCGTACAAAATTTATTTAATGGCCCCAGCTGTATCTCCCAGCCTGTGTGTGGTGGACGGACCTGCCCCTTCACCCGGGCCTCTCCTCTTCCTTTCCTTCTCAAATAATTAGTAACCTCGCCACCCTACTCCTGTGAACTGATTGCATTGTATATTTTAGCCGTTTTATTGCTTGTTTAATTATGATCGTGGAGGCTCATTTTTCTAAATCCTTTTAAGTGTGGGTGAGAATCCATTTGTATGAAGCCAGCAGAGGCCCCAAGTGCTCCTGCCCGCCTCCCCGTGGTGGCCGGGGCTCCTTTGGAGGCAGCCTGTGCGCGGGCGGTCTTGGCTCTCCGTGTCGAGGGTCTGTAGCTCCCGTAGCTGCTGCACTGCAGCACTGCGGACCAGCCTCGGGAGGCTTCCAGTGCCTCGCAGGGGACTTGGCCTGTTAGGGAAGGTGTGGGCACAGGTCACAGTCCCCTTGGGAGGGGCAGCCTGTGGGTGACCTGTGCCTCCCACACCCCTGCTTTATCACAGGAGGCTCAGCTTCCAGGTCGGGGTCAAAGCAGATTGCTCTGAGAACCTTTTCCAAACCTAACCTCATTTTGTAGACATTTCTGGTCCCAGCGCCGCCATAGGGTGTGTGATCTCCTTTCCAGGATTCTTGCTCTTCCAGAGCCCCCCAGCGCCAGTGCCCAGCCCCTCGGCAGGGCCTGCAGACACATGGTGCTGGACCCCGGCTCGTCTGTCCCTGACCTTGAGGGCGGGTGGCTCTTGCGTGTCACCACTTGATGATTTGACTTCTTAGAGGTGAACTGGAGGCATGTGGGACCACGTGGAAGGGTTGCTTCATGTGGGGTCTCACCCTCCCTTTGGGCTCTGTGCGCTTTGAGGCTTCGGGGAGCTCAGTCCCCAGTGACCACGCTGTTCCTGTCCTCCGAACAGGCCCCTGAACGGCCACACAGCGTCCTGGGTTCCCAGCTTGCCCACCGTCAGCACCCCCGCCTGTCCCTGACTTTCAGTGTGCCCAGCACCGGGTGTCGGAGGTGACCGCACTATGTGTCTGTGGGTTTCAGACATGAGAATTTATCCCGTGTGAATTGAAACCTGAAAACAGCAGCTTTCAGCCTTCCGTTTAGTATTAACAGTAAAGTCCCTAAATCCTGAGTTGCTGTGGTTTGAGGGGCTACCACAGCCTCTAAATAGTTTCAAGCTGAAATATGGAGATGGTGGCTGTGGTGGGCTCTTGCCCGGGAGAAAGCCCTGGGGCTTCCTTGGAGGTGAAGGGAAATCCACGCACGGGTCTGGCTGGTGTTAGAGGGAGCCGCTTACCAGGACCAGGGTGGCCTCATCAGCGCTAATTTAAGAACAAAGGGGAACCCAGGGCTTCTAATTTAATCACAGAAATGAACCATTATTTGGGGAGAAAGAAGGTATAATTCCTAATAGCTTAGCGGTTGAATATTTTTTAGGAAATGAAAATTTGATAAAAGTCCCCGATGAAATTCAAGGGTGCGAGCAATAAGCATAATATTTTTTGAAAATGACCCCCATATTTAAAATCTGGCACTATATGTTATGCATTGTAGCACCCGGTCCACATCTACCTTTTAGAAAATTAAAACACATAAATTCTGTTTAGTATGTGATCCGCGCTGCACTGGCTGAGAACCGTAATGCCCTGAAACCTTGGGCTGCTCTCCACCTTTCATAAATTCCTGGCAGATTCTGTACAGAAATAATTTTCAGGTCCGTGGCTTGTTGTTATTCAGACGTGATGGATCGCCATCATTTGCTCAGCGCGGGAGTTAAGTGCCCCCGTCATTTCCAAAGAGTATAATTGGGACGTTTCACAGGTCAGCGGTGGAGACAGGCTTCCCTTTTGATCAGTGTTAGACTGATAACAAAAATTACAGTTTCCAGTGATTAATGTTTGCTGCTTCCCAGATGCCTGGCAGTGGCTGCTCCCAAACAAAGTGCACTTGGTCTGACGATCGGGTTCCGGGGCCACCTGCCGGCAGGGTGCTGGTGCCCGGGCCCTGCGGCCTTGTGTCGCCTGGCTCTGTGGGAGCCACCTCCCGGCAGGGTGCTGGTGCCCGGGCCCCGTGGCCTTGTGTGGCCTGGCTCCGTGGGGGCTGGATGTGGAGCCATGGTCTCCTGCTCACCCAGGCTTCGTCTCTGGTGAACATGTGGACTCCTGCCCTGGGGGTCAGGGGTCAGGCCCCTCTTCAGTTGTCCTTCTTCCCTTCAGGAAACAAAGCTGCGATTGCAGGCGCCTTTGAGGTGTTGATGCTGGGAATGCTTTTTAGAGATGAAGGTGTGTGTCGGAGTAATTCTGGTTTTCGGTTTTTCTCTTATAAACCAGTTAACAGTCCCCTTGCTTGGCGTTCCTCTGATAGGAATCTGCCTTCCGGGAAGTTTCCCTCCGCTGTGCTGTGGGAACAGGAACGCAGGTGCCTCCACCCTGGGGCACCCCCACCCCGGGGCACCTCCACCCCGGGGCATCTCCACCCCGGGGCATCTCCACCCTGGGGCATCTCCACCCTAGCCACCCCAGGGCACCTCCATCCTGGCCACCCTGGGGGCGTGACCTTCAGCTGCCCTAGCAGCCCTGCCAGCCCCTCTCCTGGCCTGAGGGAGCTGAAGGTGAAGGTGAGGAATGACCGCCCTGCTGTGCTGAGCCCACACCAGGTTTGTGGTGGGTGAGCTGCAGAGGCGGGGCTCTCAGGGAAGGATGGTGTGCCCTGGGGGCTATGTGTGAGCTCCCACACCCTGTCCTGGGCCGTGGTGGGGCTGTTGGAAGGATGCAGGCCAGTGGGAAGGGGAGGCGGAGAAGAGTTTGCCCACGGCCGCATCTGAGCACATGGATGGAGCAGGCGGTGCCCACCGTGTGGCCATGTTACTAAGCGGTGGGCTTGCTACCGAGTGCACACAGAAGCCAGTACTACAGCAGCAGCTTTTGGGAAGAGAAAGGCTTTTTCAGGGCAGGCAGCCTTTTTCTCATGGGAGGAGGGAGGCAGGGGTGGCCTGAGGGCTCTCCAGACTCAGTGAGGGATCCCCTACACCTACCCTGGCAGAGAAGTGACCTTGTCAAAAGGAAATTGAGGTGGTTTTCATGCAAGCCCTCAAGGACAGAATGTTGCAGAAGTACTTGTCCCTTTCAGTCATCTGACATGTTGTTGTCACACCAGCGCCACGGGAGAACCCTGTACGGGGAGCTAGCCCTGGCCATTGCCTAAGAGCAGATGCACCTGCTCCACCTGGTGGGAAGATGACTCCCCTAAGCCACGGGGGCGCGGCCGCCCTCGCACCAGTGCGACGCCATTCCACATGAGGACCTCACCTCCCACAGGGACCTGGGGTGTCAGCCAGGGTTGCAGTTCGTGGTTTTGACGTAGACTCTAAACAGCCCCCAGCGCAGGGGCAGTGCGGAGGTGGTGTGATGTTGGGGAGGGAGAGCAGCCTTGGAGACAACCCTAACTGCAGTCCAGCTGTGGCTGGTGCTGGAGCCCTGAGCGGGAGAAAAAGCTCCACAACCAAAAGGCATTTCCAGGGCTCTGCCCTCTGAGAGCTGTGTGTTCATACACAGGGGCTGGGGCTTGATCTGTGCTGGGGCATCTTTCCACAGACGGAAGCCCTGGGGGATGCGGAGGAAGATGAGGATGATGAGGACTTTGTGGAGGTCCCTGAGAAGGAGGGGTATGAGCCCCACATCCCCGACCACCTGCGCTCTGAGTATGGTGAGCAGTGGGCCCTGTCGGAGGGTGCCTGGGTGGAGGGTCCCCCACTCAGGATGTGGCCCCTTGGGATCCATCTTGTGGTAACTGCTGCTTTGGTTTAAAATGCTGCTTTTCCTGCCCATGATCGTAGCCATGAGGCTGAGAAGTCGTGTGCATGCTTTTCCTCTGTGCTCTGGCTCCATCTCGGGGTCTCGGGCCTAGGGTCCTCCCTGCAGCCTGCCCCGAGGTATGCTCCCTCTCTGGTGGTCCTACTGGTCCTCCTCTGCCAGGCAGGCCCTCAGGTGCCCAAGTCTGGGGCAGGGGCCATCCTACTCTTGGTTCTTGTGTGTGGAGGCCCCAGCACACTGGCCTGCTCTAAGGACGCTGCGGGGCAGGTCCTGACCTCCCTCTGCCATCAGCAGCCCTGCTCAGGGACAGAAAGGCCTCACGCACGAGGGTGGGCTCTGGTGGGCTCCTTGAACTTGAGGGTTGTGTGTGTGATTCCTGCAGCTACAGGAGCCGCTGCTGGCAGGTGGGAGGGGCCGCCACTCCACACCCTCCAGGCTCCCCTCCCTGCTTAGTCACAGGCATCCCTCCTCACCACTGGTGATGCCACAGACTCGGGTCTGGGCCCAGGGCTGCTGTGCCCTCCACAGCAGGGAGCTCCTGTCATCCTCAGGGAGCACTCGGGAGGTGCTGAGTGCTGC